ACGGGCTGGTTTGTGGCCCTCAGCATTGGAGACTTCCTTCAGGCAGACACGGATAGAGAACTCACTGAGTGCCAGGCTCTCGGGCCCAGGGAGGGGGCAGGGAGAGCACAGGACAGTGTGATCCCACGGGAAAATGAGAATGGACAGGCGCTCAGCCCAACTGCCAGGCACGGGACACGCCATGGGAGAATCTGAAGGGCAGAGGCTGCCTACCTGAGGAAGGCTAGCCCCATTGCATTTGTATTTAGAGAGGACTCCAAGACCAGTCTCAGTAGCAAGTGGGAGGAGCTGGGGTTGGAAACTAGGGAAGGGAGGGGCGGGGGGCTTGCCTGTGCTCTGTCTCTCTCAGCAGAAAACTACAAAGTGAGGGTGTAAAGCTTTCTTCAAATCCAAGGAAAGAGTGAACCTATCTATATAAAAGATGAACTGCTCCAGGCGCTGGTGGCGCACGCCTTTAATCCCAGCACTCGGGAGGCAGAGGCAGGCTGAGCTCTGTGAGTTCGAGGCCCAGCTGGACCAACAGCTTCCAAAACAATACAGAGAAACCCTGTCTCGTAAAAACCAAAAAAAAAAAAAAAAAAAAGCAGGGGTAGGCAGCGAGCATACAAGCCTACTAAATCCGATAGGAAAGTGAGCTTGGGTCAAAGAGCCTGTTTGTGGGCCCAGTTTGGGAAGCATGCTCTTATTCTGAGGTGCCAAGGCAGCCTTCCTCACATGCTCCCTAAGGGCTTGAGTTCTCCTCCACAACACCCACCGTAGAAGATGAAGCTCTGTGCCATCATCCAGACACAAACGTGGTCCCCCACCTCTTAAAGTCTCCCTCCTCTTGGAGGACAGCGCCCCCCACCGCCCCGTTCTGCGTCTCTGCAAACCCCTTCTGATTAGACAACCGGAGGCCACGTTGAGCGGCTGCATCTCCCAGGCAGAGAAAGAGCAAGCGAGAAGGGCTAGCCTAGGCTCAGACAGATGTGTTCAAGAAGGCCCCCGGGCCTGCAGAGAGTCTAACCAGCTTCCCCACCCACCCCAAAGCTGGGCCCAGAGGCTCTATGTGGCCTGAAGGGGCAAGGTTGGGGTTTGGGGACTGGCTAGGGAGGGGTGACTCCATTTGACCCAGATCCACTCACCAGATAACAAGCGCCAGCCTGTTTTCTAACCTGGGAATTAAGACCGTCTCCAACTCAATTGACTGTGTAAAACAATATGCTAGGCCACAAGGCAAGTGCTATGTATTGAGCGACCATGAATTTCCAGACCCAGGGGGCCAAGATGGCCTGGTGTGACTATGCCCTCCTCCCCTCTGCTGTCCCCCAGTCTCCTGCAGCAAGAATTCCCCAGTGCCCACCTTCAACCTAATCCTATTGTTTAGCTTTTCTGAAGAATGTCAGAGGGACAAGTCTGGGAGCGCTGGGGGTATCCACAGGCCTGGCTAGGGTCATCACAAACAGTGCTCCAGACCAGCTGTCAGGGGGGTGGCTCTGCAGGCTCCTCCACTGCTGTTATGGGGAACTTCCCCACAGTGGCTCCCCCCCCCCCCCGATGTGCTGACCGCTAGCCTCACTTCCACACGGATTTGCCTAACCAAGCTCTCCACACCCCGATGGGGCAGTTTTGTGTTTCCCTTTGTAGAAGGGGATACCTGAGGCACAAAGCCCCGCATGTTGACTCTACCCTGCTTTCTCCAGGCACCTGGGTAGACATGATAGAACACGATAGAGGTTTTGAGGGCTGGCTCAGCCTGGCTCTCCCACTTTCAGCCTCTGGTTTCCTCATCCACTCGATAGACAGGCAGTCCAGGACACCGGGATGCTCGGCCCATCCCATCCCAAACTGTGGCGGCAGCATCTCGCCATGCCAGTGTACTTGTGGTGGTGGCCACACCCCTTGGGCGTGGTTTCAGGGGCAGGTGTGACCCATTGCAAGATAGGGAGGAGGGGATGGCTGCCTCATGATCTCTTGGGTTGTGGAGAGCATCGAAAGGGCGGAGACTGCACCTTCTGGAGCAGGAACATTGTGGTGATTGTTTACTCTTATCTGTGGGAGTGCTTTCCCAATAAACACCTGCTTATCGTTTATCTTGTGTCTGGTGGACTCATTTAAACCCCGCCTTCGCTGGGCGTTGGTGGCGCATGCCTTTAATCCCAGCACTCGGGAGGCAGAGGCAGGCGGATCTCTGTGAGTTGGAGGCCAGCCTGGGCTAAGTTCCAGGACAGCCTCCAAAACAATACAGAGAAACCCTGTCTCAAAAAAACAAAAAACAAAAAACAAAAAACAAAAAAAAACCCGCCTTCACCCTCCTAGCTGGTATTCTGCCTGTTCTGGCTAAACCCTCTCATGCTAATTATCATGATGGCTTGCCTGGGACACCACAGGACCTGTGAAGCACACCTCAGATGGATCTCTTAAGGGAAGCCCTGCAGCTTTGGGGACATCAGAAAAACATGTCACCTGCTTTCTGTCCCCTGCTGGGACTAGCTCAGACCACCAGGGATCAATGCACCCAGGGGCCCCAGCACTGTTGGGGGGGGCAGTTAACTCAGAAAGCCACCAGGTGGAAGGACTGTGACCCATGTCTCTTTCTCACTAAACTGACTTTGCTTCTGCCTCAGCAGCTGATTCAAAAAAAAAAAAACTTTTAAAGAAACAACAACGAGCCAGGCGGTGGTGGTCCACGCCTTTAATCCCAGCACTCAGGAGGCAGAGGCAGGTGGATCTCTGTGAGTTCAAGGCCGGGCTGGTCTACAAAAGCCAGTTCCAGGACAGCCTCCAAAGCTACAGAGAAACACTGTGTCGGAAAAACTAGAAAAAAGGAAAAAAAAAAGAAAGAAACAATGAAAACAACTTACTCTCTGCCTTTCCCTCTAGGTGGCCTCATCTGAAATTCGGTAAACAAACTAACTCTTATTCACACCAGGTAGCATAGAGACAAAAATCACGTTCAGCACCAACCCAGAGACTTCAGATGGGGCCCTGGATGGAGTGCTGGCTCCCCTGACATCAGCACTGGCCTCTCTGTGATCTGTTCTCATCTCTAAAGTGGCAAGAGGCGGGACAGGACAGTGTCATAAACTTGGACTTCCTTGTCACATAGCCAGACCAGTGATTAGCAGTCTCTGGTTTGCCTTCACCAGGGGAAAGCTTGCGAGGACAGGAGACTTTGCAATGGATCCAGAAACCAAGCAATACCTCCAGACATAGGATATATCAGATGCCTACCTGGGATCCACAGGTGGGCCAGGGCAGAAGGCGGGGCTGTCCTGGTCATTTTTAATGTATGTGTGAGCTCTTCCTATGATATGAGCCAGGCTACTGTCCTAGGTACGACAGGCAAAGTTCTCCTTACCCAGGTACCTGGTACTGGCCACCGGGAGACCCAAGTCCCATCAAGCTAAGAAGGCACAGGTGGGATTAGCTCCCCGACATGGTCATCCAGAGTTCCTCCCCTTGGGCCCTTCCCAGGGCTTCCTGCAAAGCCTCCCTCACACCTTCTTACCCTCACTTGATAGATGCCAGCCTGGCCTGGAGATGGTTGAGCTACCCCACACACCAACGGTGGCCTGTCCCTGGCTTTCTCTTCATTCACACACGCGAAACAAGCAAAACGCTAGGATTTCTAACAGGAAGAAGTCACGCGGAAGACTTCCAAACTCATTTCACTCAGCAGCGCACTTGGGGTAGTGTAGGAGAACATGGGGAGGGCGGTGCATTGACGACCTGAATTCCCCATCTTCCACGGGAGCTACAAGGGCTCAAACAGGCTAGCTTGCCCAGGAAACCTGTGTGTGGGGAAGAGCTGAAGGCGGTTCCAGGACACGCGCCACTGGGCTTCCCTCCCCCACCTGCGGTTCTCCCACGTTCAGGCCCCAGGGATTCTACTTTGGGGATCCCTGGCGACTGCCAGCAGGGGCGACAGACAGGGAAGAAGGAAGGTGGCGGAGTAAGGAAGCGAGCCACAAACCCCAGCTTCAGCTGCTAATCTGACAGAGGCGGTGGCAGCGTGTTCCCCCGAGTCCGCAGCATTCCGCACGCCCCTCCCGGATCCCCCCCCCCCCCCCGCCCCCGACAGGCTGAATCAGAGACCGCCACGGGTCTCCCGGGAACGGGCGAGCAGTTCCAGCTGCTCTCCCGGCTAGAACGGCAGGGAGGACCGCCTGGGAGAAAGAAAGGGGAGGGGGGGTGTAGGCGGAGGCGAAAATGACGACAGTCGGAGCTCCTGCCAACTCGGGGGCTGCCAGGTGCCCGTGCGACCCTGGCGGCACAAGCCACCTCTCCCGCGCAGCCTCTGCGCCAGCCTGGCGCTACCTAGAGGGCCGCACCCAGCCCGTGCTGCGCTCGCTGCCGAGTCTCGCTTTGGCGCGTGCAGCACGCGCCGGGGACACACCCCGGACTCTCCCCCGGCACACACATGTCCGCTCACACGCACAGCTCGGAAAAGCACCCGGCCCTGCGACCGAATGGGAACCTGGGCGCAGATCACCCTGGTTCGGGACCAGTCTCCAAAGCAGATGACAAGCACACACCCTCGGCCCCTTCTGCCTGCAGGATCCCCCTTCAACGCTGCTCACCCCTACTCACCACGCGGGTACAGTCTGTACGGTCGCCCTTTCCCGGGTCATCCCAACGCCCATCCACACCCCGTTCACACCGGCGAGCACACACAGGGTGTCCCCCGTGAGCCCACTGGACAGACAGAGTCAGCTGTGACTGGGGTGGGGGTGGCACCAGGAAGAAGGACCCCAGGTGTCCCTAGGCTCTCCGCGTTAACTTCAACCCCCCTTCCCCAATTAGAAAGAAAGCGAAGACCGGACGCGTCTTTTCTTCCCTTACAGTAATCGAAATCCTTCCAGTGATGCCAGAGAGCCCCCACCCCCACCCCACGCCAGCGCCACCAGGTCCTCGCAAGGGCCACAAAGGCGGACGGGGAGTCCAGCAGCACCTCCAAGGCAAGCCTATTAAGGGTCCTGTCGCTCCCCGGAGGAAAAAGGCGTCCGGGGGGAGCTTACCTAATGAGCGAGCACGGAAAGAAGCCAACGAGGTTGACTGCGCGGCGCCCAGCGGGAGGTGAGGAGGAGAGAGGCGAGGATGGGTGAGCAATCAATCAGCCGCGAGAGGGTGACCTGGCAAGGTTTGTTTATGTCCGGGCGTAGGGCGATTTTTATAGGCGCCGGGGCCCCGCCCCCAGGGCCTCGCCACTCCCCGACCCTCAGCTCCCAGCCCAGCGGGGGACACACCCCTTTCCCCCGCTCCCGTCGCGTTCACCCTCCCTGGGCTGGGCTGGACTGGGCGGGCTGGAGCCGCCGCCTGTTGCGCAAGCCTTTGCAGGGGCGCGGCGGGAGGGACTGCCAGGCCCGGGCTGCGGCTCCTCCCTGCGATCCCCTCTCTGGGCCGCGGCGTGCGCGGCGGACGTGTGTGCTCCGAGCGGTTGTGTGTTCCCGAGCGTGTGCATGCCCACTTCCTTGTGTCTCTGCGCGGCCGCGTGGCCCCCCGTCGCCTTCTTGGAGTCTCCAAAGCGTTTGTCGGCTCCACGCCCTTCTGGGCGGCACCCCCACCTCCTCCGGGTCTCCACGTAGTCACTCCTCCGGAGCCCCATTTACAGCTGAGACTGCAGACTTTTCTTTCCAGGTTCCTTCATTCTCTCGGATCCCGACGCCCCACAACTCACTTCCTGCACGTTTCAGTTCCACACTATGGTCTCCCTGCTGCTCCAACCTGCCTGGTCAGCAGTGAGGACTCTACAGGCTGCCTTCGTGGTCCCCAGAACTCGCCCAGAGTTCCAGCGTTTCCAACCGTGGCCGACCCTGCTGCGGGGGCCATTCTAAAACCTTGGCCTGCCTGCCTGTTCCCCGATTCTCAGCCCTAGCCTCCACCTGAGACTCAGGGAGGCCTCTGTTAAGCAGGTGGACATCCTGGCTTCGCCTCAGAGCAGCTCAGTCAGAATCTTGGGGAGTGTGTGCTAACACGGGGGCTTTTTAATGCGCTCCCCAATGGGTGAGGCAGGATGGCTCGGATGGTAAAGACACTTGCCTGCCAAACCTGAGAACCTGATTTCCATGCTCAGAAACCAAAAAAGTAAAAGGAGAGAACCCACTATCACAAGTTTTCCTCAGACCCCACTAAATAAATAAATGCTATCCAGGTTGGCTGTAATATGAAGCGGCATTGAGAACCTCAGCACCCAGTCCACCTAGGCCTAGTCCAGTCATTGTCTCAGAGGCACCTGCCAGTCTCTCTGCCTCAAGGGACCTTCCTCTCCCCCTCCTACTAAGCCATGCCCTCAAGGCTCCTCTTGGCTTCCAGTATGGTCTAAATACCCTGGCCCTCATTCTGTTGGTCTATGGATGTCTAGGAAGCTGCTTTACCAGCCTGGCCTGAGCTAAGGCACTGGGAAAAAACTTTAAAAAAAGAAAGAAAGAAAAAGAAAAAAGAAAGAAAAGAAAATCCTTTGTTTTGAGAATATAGCCAAAGATTTCAGTTTCCCATCAGTAGAACATGGCTAAGCTGAGCTTATCCTGTATGTAGCTGTACTAAGCACCTACTATGTGCAAGAACTTCCTGGACCCTGGGGCCATGAGAGTGAACACTGGCATCCCTGGGAGTCATTCTGTTGGTTAACAAACCTTCAGACAAACTACGCAATCTATTACCCCACTAATAACCATTTTTCCAAATCATTCCCTGTTTTGTCTTTCAACAAACCTTTATTGAGAACCTACGGTTAGCTCCCGGCCAAAGAGTGTCCAATTTGAAATGCTGGCAGAGTTGCCAACGTTCCCAGCAACGGGAAATGTAGCCTCAGTGTGATCTGGAAGAGGTCACTTGACCAGCAGAAGCCATCTCCCGCCCCTTTGAGGAAGTCTTCTTTTGGGACAAAGCATGTAGAGCAACCCAGACCTGCAGCTGCAGCCTCCAGTGCGCTGCCTGTGGGACCTGAGTGTGTTAAGGAAGCCAGATGTTTTAGGTGCCCTGCAGCCCTGAGCTCTCGGCTGGACAAGCTGGACCCTGGTGGCTCCACCTGTAAATCCGGTCCTCAGGAGTCTACAGCTACAGCAGGGGGACTGCCAAGACCTGCATGGGCTTTGTCTCAAAGCAATACCGAAAAGGAAATGGTCAGGAGAGCGGAAGAGACGAGGGCGGAGAGACGAGGAAGACGTTGACCTTGGTGTGGAATTTTCATAGCACTGGCTTTCTAACCCCATAGGCCAATCACCTTGGGAAAAGTTCTGAGTGAGATCCACTTGAAACTCCACACGCCATAGGTTGTGGTGAGCCAAAACAGTCACGTTTCTCTTCCTGATACAACCGATTGACCATTGAGTATTCGGTGAAGCAAATGTGTGTGGCTACAACACCTATGCCCGGGTAAGAGACTGCCCTAATGCAGTAGTGTCTTCACCCCAGGACAGAAGTGCCTGCTCTCCACAGAGGTCACCCATCAGGGTGCTGACACCCACCTCCCCAGCCCAGGCCAGCTGAGGCAGCAGAGCCTGTTGAGTTGAATGTGACTGTCACTGCCCTGAGCTGTTGGAATGGATTCTCTTTCTCACTGGTCAGCAATAGAATTGGATTTGCTTAGCAAATACACACAGGCTGCCAACCCCACACGGGGTGAGATTAGATTTTCTAGGCTAATGTGCCCTGGAAATTTCTATTCGGCAACACCTTAGATTTCTTTTCTTTTTTCTTTTTCTTTCTTTTTTTTTTTCTTTCTTTTTTTTTTTTTTGGTTTTGGCTTGTTTTTTTTTTTTTTTTTTTTGGTTTTAAGAGACAGGGTTTCTTTGTATTGTTTTGGAGGCTGTCGGCCCAGCCCCACCTCGAACTCACAGAGATCCGCCTGCCTCTGCCTCCCGAGTGCTGGGATTAAAGGCATGCGCCACCACCGCCCGGCAACACCTTAGATTTCTAAACGACTACAAGACTCATCTGTTTCGGCCTTCTTCCTTGTAGTCTGTTGAATGCTGGAGTTGGGAGAGACTCCAGGGCTAGCTGGTCTCCAGGGGAGGAATGTGGAGCTCTGTGGTGCCTTGTACACCTGTGTATCTCGGGTTCTATGGAAATGACCTATTCCCTCTGACAAACACCTGTGAGCCACTAAGGAACCTATGGAAGGAAACTGGGAAACCGGCTGCAAACTTGGGGAAACGGAGACTGTGCTCTAGACCCAGAACACGTACGTACTTCGAGCATAAATGAAGAAGTGACGTTTGGTCTCCAGGAAGGTAGTGTCTCCTGGCTCCCGACTTCCATGAGCTTGCCAAAACAGCCATAACCAAGTCTCACAAGCTGTGGAAACAAAGGTGACATGTCTGTTCTCCCTCAGTCCCAGGGGACAGAAACCAGTGTCATAGCACAAAATGAGGCCTACTTCTTGGGAAACCTTGTCTGGGGTCTGGTGTTACTGATGATCCTTGGTGTCCATTGGCTTTTAGAGGCATTACCAGCTGTCCTTCTCTGTGAGTCTCCTTAAGCGTTCTTCCAGAAGGGCCTCCGTGGAAGTTACGTAATGATTCTTTCATGTATGTGTATATATGGTATATGTGTGTGGGCACATCCACCACAGTGATTGTGTGGGAGTCAAAAGATAACTTGTTTTTATATGTGTGGTTCTGTATGTGTGTGCGTGCATGCGCATGCGTGCATCTCGTGTGTATAAGTGCCTGAGGGGGCTACAAAAGGTATCAGGTCCCTTAGAGATGGAGTCACAAGTGGTTTCAAGCCGCCACTGCCTGAAGTGGATCTCTCTGACCACAGAGGACAACTCTGTAGAGTCAGTTGTCCCCTTCCATCTTTTTATAGGTTCTGGAGACTGGACTCAGGTTGTCAAGCTTGCATCACCGAGTGACATCTGGCTCTGCCTGCTGAGCCAGCTTGCTGGCTCTAACCATGAAGCTCAGTCTTGATTGCTCACTAGGCTGAGTCTGGAATCAACAAAGAGACGGCCTCTGAGTCCATCTGTGATGTTTTTTCCGAGAATTATCTGACATAAGAAGACACTCCCTGGGTCTTGCTTAGTTCTTGTTGGCCTGTGAGTCTGTCCCACCGTTCCTGTTTCTGCCACCTCTCACTGGCACTAGAAGCTTCTCGGGCTTCCTGGTGTAGATTGAAGAGCCCTCCAGGGGACCTATGTATCTCCACCAGCAGATTAGGACTCTTGAGGCTCCAGATGTGTAGACTGAGCACCAGCAGGTTAAGGCTACTGAGGCATCCAGATGTGTAGGCTGAGCACCTACTGGGTGCCCAGCCTCTCCAACACACAGACGGCCGTTTCGCAATGTTTAGTCCATTCTGTCTGTCCCTCTAGAGAACCCTGACTAATGCAACCTCATTCTAACTAATCATCAGAAAATGAAACCAAACAACACCAACTGTTTCCCAATGCAGTACTGTTTGCAAAGTCTGGGAAAACACAGTTTGGGAGGTTACTATTCAACCCAGCATATGGCTAACATGGATTTGGAAAGTGGGCAGAGAAGATTCCTGGGAGGCCCACGCAGCAGCCAGCCTGCTCAGGAAACCATGAGGCTGTTACAGACCTTGGAGAAAAGAATGGAAGCGTACAGTGTCATCGCTCGGACGCTGGCTATGACCTTTCCCGACCTGGAAGTCTTTCCACTCACCTCTCCCCTGCCCTGTCATGCTCTTATGCCTCACTTCAAGGAGCAGGGAGGAGCAGGAAGTGGGTAACTGTTAACTTCAGGTGTGGACAGGGCAGGGGACATTCTGCCCCTCCCTGGAGGAAGGATATGGGTAGAGCTCATGGAAGGTGGGCGGGGGAGGGAGTGGGGAACATATTTGCAGATAGGGAGGCAAAAGCTTGGGTTCCTGGGGGGTGGCCCTGTTGTCCTGAAAGGGGAGAGGGTGGCAGTCCTCAAAAGCCAGAAAATATGTATGATGCAGGGTCTATTATTTAAGTGACAGCTTCCCTGAGGTCTCCACCTGGAGGGAAGAAACTCAGAACAGATCCCCGGTCTACATTTAATAGACATGTGGGGCAGTATCTTCTTCCAGTGAGTGACTCAAGTAAGGACAGGGACAAGAGAACCCTCACCTGGGCATGAGTTTGGAACTAGAATCCCAGCACTGGGAAGACTAAGTAGGAGGACTGTTGTGAGCTTGAGGCTAGCCTGGTCTACGTGGTAAGATACTAAGGGGGCTATTCCTATA